GGCAAGACGGCGGTGGGCGACATCTCCCCTCGTGGCCTCAAGATGTCAGCCACCTTCATTGGCAACAGCACGGCCATCCAGGAGCTGTTCAAGCGCATCTCGGAGCAGTTCACGGCCATGTTCCGGCGCAAGGCCTTCCTGCACTGGTACACGGGCGAGGGCATGGACGAGATGGAGTTCACCGAGGCCGAGAGCAACATGAACGACCTGGTGTCCGAGTACCAGCAGTACCAGGACGCCACGGCCGACGAGCAGGGCGAGTTCGAGGAGGAGGAGGGCGAGGACGAGGCCTAAGAACTTCTCACGTAAATCGTGCATCTTTAGTGGACTTCTGTCGTCCTCCAGCATGGTCTATGTGTATACTATGGTGCTCAGTTTTGCTCTGTCCGTTTGTGTCTGAAATTCACACTACTGATGTGATGACGTGGATCTCTCAAAATGACAGTATTGTCTGTTCAGATATCTATACTAATAAAAGCATGTGTATAAAACCCACTGGCTTCTACTTTCACATTAAATGCTGTTTAGTCTTTTGTGAAATACGTTGAAAGTATCAAGTTTCAGGGTTTAATATATATATATATATTTTTTTTTTGGATAGATTTTTGCCAAAGGGCGTGTGTGCTCACCAGAAAGAGAGACAGAAAGTAAGAAATCACCCCCCAGGGGAGATGGCCACTCTGCAATCCCTTCTCCTCCATTCTCCTCTTGGGATCTTGGGCACACACGCACACGCGCCCAGTGTGATTTTAAGCCACCGCATCTGGGACTCGAACCACAGTTGGCTACATGGGAGTCCAACAACATAGCTATTATGCTAAGTGCTGGTCCCTTAGGGTTTAATTTTAATAGCAATGTAAGATTTTTGCTTCCAGTTTTGAACAGCATTTCTAGCCTTTTAGTAAAGGGAGATGATAATATGTAATTTTTCATCTTTCCTGGCCCAAAATATCAGAGTAAAGGAATCTCTCAGTAGTGATCCAGCTGTAAAGGGTTTGGAGATAAAGCACATCTTCCCTTATTGCTGTTTCAAATACCCTTATGAATATGTGGAACCAAGGATCCTACTCAAGACCTTTATGAACAATAAGACAGGTGACGTTTGTACTTCTTAGTTAAAAGATAAAAGTCTAAAATCCAGATGTTGCCAATGGCAGATCCCAATGCTACACGTATTGTACGTAAAATTTATTTGAATGCAGATGGTGGCAGAAATGTATTTTTTAAGACAATGGAAACAATCCCCAACTTAATGTTAAAAACTCAGAATTAATTTTTGTCATTATCACAGCTAGCGGCTATTTTCAATGTCATTATTCCCATTGGATAAGGATCCGATTGTAGAAGAGGGCCAGGAAGCCTGGTGGGTGGTAAATGGAGGTGTGATACCAGGGAGGGGGTTTCAAAGGCATCTTGTACCAGGTGGCAACATGATCAAGCCCGTACCAAGGACCAGTCAGTCTCAAATGTTTTCAGGTACATTTCACTGTAGGAAGTCTTCTACTAATTTGTTGAATTCATCTGCAAAACGTAAATGAAGGTTGTGTTTGCCTTCTGGCATCAGATGCAACCTAAAGGGGAAAAAAACAAACTTGTTGATCAATGGCACATTTAAAAACCCTTCCCAACATTTCATAAAAACCCCAAGTGAGAAAAATGCCACCTTTCCCCCCATGACAACTCTTAGGAAGAAAATGTAAGGCCACAGTATAAGCCTTCTATGTGTACAGAGAAGGGTGAAACCCAGCCACCCCAGAACTGGACTGGAAAACTGACAAGAGTGGTTGGTTACTTAAAAAAAATCCACCTCAAGAACCAGCAGTTAGCGTAATGGCTATGTTGCTGGACTCCCACGTAGTCGACCGTGGTTCGCGTCCCAGACCCGGTGGCTTAGAACTCACGCTGGGCGCACGTGCGTGCGTGCCCAAGATCCCGAGAGGAGAATGGAGGAGAAGGGATTGTGGTGTGACCATCCCCCCTGGGGGGTGATTTCTCGCTTTC